CCTGAGCCTTTTAGTCGCGAGAACAGAAACCCAGCACAGTGTCTCTTCACAGTCCATTTTTATATAAATTCAGACACCATAAAATGTACAATTCAAGTGAGCGTTCCTGGAGCTGTCCCCACCAGGCTGCACCGACGCAGCCCCGCCCAGCCCCCTCCTGGCAATCAGTCTCCTCCCAGACCCAGAGGAACCAGGATGGTTGCCCACCGGAGGACCTTTCCCTGGCAGCTGGAGTGCGCTCTCAGGTAAGGACCCTTCCCCAACCCGCGCTTTGAAGGTCACTCCCCGTGGTCAGCCTTCTTTCACTGTAGGTGTCGCATTTGCTTCTTGTCACACTCATGCTTAGATCTGCGGGCTCCACCCTCATGAGATCAGTGTCCTAAAATGTCTGCTCCCCTGTCACCCGAGGACACGCCCTGACCCACGCTGGACTGTGGTGGTGATCTTGGACTCTGGTCCACACACCTGAGAGCAGGGTCTGTGGTTCAGGAGGGCCCAGCTCCCACGGGCTAAGATGGGGGTCTGTCACACTGTCCCGTAATGGCCTCATTGACCTAGAAGAGTACTTTGAAAAGTCGGCCCCACCCTCTGTCTCTGAAGGACCCCTTTTGTCACATCAGGTGTCCCAACAGGTATGATCTCATCCTAAGCTCAACACAGGTCCCCTGGCCCGTGCTCCTGATTCTGTGCTGATCTGCGGTGTCACCCACGGGTTTTACCCTCATTTCGGAGGGCAAGGCTGCAGTCTGCAGGGGTCTCCTCCCTTCTGGGGCCCAGGACAGCAGGAGCTGAGTGCACACAGTGGGGGGCCCTCCCTGAGGCTGAGGCTGGCTGGGGGGAGCGCATGGTGAGATGCCCCTGAGCCCCCTTCCCAGGCTCTGGCCCACGGTTGATGGTGTTCCCTCCCAGCAAGCCCCTGACCGTCCCAGGACTCACCAGCTCTCCATTTCCCAGGGCAGACTCAGGGTGCTCACTGGGAAGCTGTCACTTCTCCCAGAATGTAGAGAAAATTGTGAGGACCGTTTCCACAGAGTTGAGGACACTCAGGGGGTGTGCCTATTACATCTATGACTGGGTTTAGAGGGGGATGACAGTTTCTTTCTCTGTCGGATGCACCAGTGCCGGTGGCAGAGCAAGACGCTATTTTTCTTTCTCAGAGGACAGGAGCACCAGGAGGCCATTTACATAGTTACGTGCACAAGAAGCAGAAAAATCAGAGACCTGTGGTTTCCATTTCAGAAGATCCTGCTGAGGTCTCCCTGACCAGTGAATTCACCCAGTGTCACCCAGACCTCAGCACCCACATCTCTGCTGCTTCCACAGTCCCTCTGGGCTTACCCAGAGTCTGGGCACCTTACAGAAGTGTCACATTTTTATTCGCCTGTCAGTTAGCAAACCACAGTACAATGGAGGATGTCATCTCTAGAGGAAGCACACTGTTCACAAGACGTGTATTATCTCCACTCCGTACCTGGTATTTTCAGACAG